TTCTAAGCACTGATGAAAACTGACATAAGCTCTTAGAAGTATCAAGTTTTTATATTGATGTATAAAAAACTATTGTTTATAAGTATTTTTTTAAAACGACTTTTAATGTCTGTTTATAAATCAGTACTTCCAGACGAGGTATTGTAACAATTACTGATTAAAAGCAATTTTGCAATTAAAAAAGTAATTATAAAGAATATCAGTGGTTTTAGCTTTTAATTTTTAATTAATAGATATTTATTCATAGTTACAAAAATTGGTATAAAAGCTGATAACAATTCTTCAGATAGCTTAGCAATAACAATAAAATTTACCTTAAATTAAAAAAATTAAAAATTTAAAAATTTCAGAACATTTATTAAGAATATTTCTTCTACTTTAAATTTTTTTTTTTTTTTGAAATAACTTATTCAACTTGAAAAATAGTATAAAGTACAACCTGCGTACTTATTTATTTTATCTCTATTTTCAAATTTTTTTTATGGGTGTTTAAAAGTAATTGTTATAAATTTTTTTTTTCTTCTTTTTTTTTTGCAAATAAAAAATTAAGTTTAAAAAAAATAATGTTTCTAAAAGTTATATTAAAAAATTATTTTAAAACGTTATTGTTTAAATATTTATTAAAAAGACATTTTTTATCAAAATAAGTTAACACTTGGGCAGACCTCGGCCTGCCTAAGTGGGAGCACCTCGGCCTGCCTAAGTGCTGACAGGAGTAAATGAGTGCAAGAGCAGAGAAAAGCTCTCCTAAAGCAAACATGGTGAGCCATGCAAGCTGCTCCTCTAATCAGCTTCTTATGAGAGCTATTAATTTTTGCACAAGCTATCTGTTTATTCATTAAAAAAAAATTGTTAAATACAAAATTTTGTTTTATACTTGTTACAAACTTTGTTTGTAATATTAATGTTACGAGAATATATACATAGCAAAAGTCATTTATTACGCTGTGAACAAATTCTTTAGATGAGTTTCATACGGGTTTTCACACGAGCTATCCATTTATTTATTAACAACATTACTTATTTGATAAAAAATTTGACAAAGAGCTATAAACGTTTTTACTGCTTGTTAAAATTTTTTTATATTTTCTTATTGTAACAGAATGCAGGTATTTTAATAATTATTTCAATAATCAAAAATTCTACAATAAAAGTGAAAAATATATTAAAGTAATTGTTATATGTAAAATATATAATTCATTACAAAAAATAAAAATTGTTATTCAATAATTTTAATTTTTGTCAGTTAAATAATTTTATAGTTTATCAATGTAGTTTAGAGTGTAATAATTTTATATTTAATCAAATAGTTTAATCTAATCAAAAAAATTTGCATTTAAATTGACACTCTTTTTTACCTTATTTTTTGTCCAACAACCATGCCTTTTTAAAAGAATTTCAGTTTGTTATGCAATTAATTTTTTTTTTTGATAAAAATGACTTAGTGTTTTCCATTGATAATTATAATTTTAAGAGAAAAAATTATGCTTTAGCGAGAGGCATATGTTGTTCCCATTATCCAATTTAGGGGAGTGCGGATGAGAGCGAGAGCTAAAGCTCTCACCTCCTGTCAAGGCCTGCTTAGGTTAAAAAAAAATATTTTTTTTAAATTTCTTTTTACTATTATTATTAGAGGTAATATGCAGCAAGAAAAACTCGCTTCTCGATTTAAAAAAAAAACAGGAGAGTCTTTTTCGCAATGAATGTTTATCAGTTGACTTTAAAACATTTGCTTATCCGTGGTGGGCTAAAACTGATATACCTGAGGTAATTTAGTTTCATAGTATTTAAAAAGTTGTTATTGTTTATGTTGTTATATCTATATACAAAGTAGCTTATTCTGTTGTTGTTATTGACTTTTTTTTTTTCCTGTTCTTATATCTAACTTAAATTGGTAGAGCTTGCAGCAGAGTACACACTCTGCTGCATGCCCTACCAATTTAAGTTATTTTATTTTTTACGTTTCTTAGCTGTCATAAAACAACTTACTTAGGAAAAATAAAACTATAATAAAAGTATAAATAAAAATCACACAAATCTTGATCTGCAAATCAGGTTAACGTCAGGAAGGTGTAAAATTTGTAATTGTAAAAAACTTAATGTTACATAAATAGCATGATGCCTGTCACCTTATCTTTTTTCTTTAATTCATAACAAAACATAAATTTTTTTTGAATTTTGCAACACCAACATTTACAAGATTACCTAAGAGAAAAATGCTTCTATCTTCAGCAAGTAATTAAATATCTCTTCAGCATCATTAATACCATTTTCAACTGTACAATCTTTTGTATACATGTTTTCTTTCTCTTTATGTAAGATGTTTAAACTGATGTGAAGTTATGAGCATTTTAATAAAAGTTTAATTTTAAAAATAAGATTGCTTTAAAGTTTAATTTTAAAAATAAGATGTCAATTTTTTTTTTTTTTCTATGCTTATAGAAAAAAGAAGCTAAAAAAATCTTTAGTAGAACAAATGTACACAGCATAAGACTAAAAT